CTCGGACGTTCGCGCCACGAGAGAGAGAGAGAGAGAGAGAGAGAGAGAGAGTGAGAGAGAGAAGCACCAGCAAGAGCAGCACCAGCAGCACGGTGGCAGAAGAGGCAAGTGCAGCCATCAGACAAGTAAGCACGAAAACTTGTATTGAGTTTGTGTGCATGAGCAAGTAAATTACTCAAGCTGTGTCTGCTCTAGAGCTCTATCAGGACTCAGGGTTCTGTTGTTGAAACACTTAGAAGAGATTCGGCTTTCCATCAAGCGGTTGGGCCCCTGTGACCTCCTATAGACAGAACCTCTGTAGAATTGTTGGGTTGATAGCTCATTGGGTCGTAGAGGTTATACAATGCCATGGTTTGGAATTTGGATATCTACACATACTATGCAGGGAATTCCCCTCAAAGCCTAAATCGTCCAAAACTCTCAGGACGACGCCACGGCGCAGCGGGTTACCGCAGACCTTGATGTCTTTGGCAGCCCAGGCAGTCAAGGAGAGGGGACAGACCTTGTCAAGTTGTCTCCAAAGAAACATGTGCCTAGCTCTGGCCAGCCGCATTTCAGACATGTTCATGCTTTAATTTTGTAAACCTGCCTGATATAGGTGCCCAACTAATTACCTGTACGATTTTGGGGGCTCCTGTTTATAACTATGTTAGAACTTACCTCAACTCACAACCCTGTTCTAGTTATTCAGGCACCTACATTTAATGATTACACCGCAGTGGGTTTCACTACAAACCGAGCTTCAGGGGTTCTCGTTAGAAGCAGAAAGCCTTCTGCTGAAGCCCACCTGAAGACTCGCTAGAGATGGAGCATGCATTAATTATGAGCCTGATGATCCTTGTCCCAGTCGTTCCCTCGTTCTAGGTTTTGCTGAATAATGAGATATCCTGTAAGCCCCCCGAGTCCTATAGACCCTAAACCCTAAACTGTAAACCCCTAAACCCGAAAACCTAAAACCCTGACTCCTAAACCTATATAGACCCTAACACCCTAAAGCCCCAAACCCTAAAACCCTTAGAGCCTATATAACACCCAAAAACCCTGAACCCTAAACCCTAAACCCTACAACCCTAAACCCTAAACCCTAAAACCCTAAACCGTAAACCCTATAGACCCTAAAGACCCTACAGAGCCAGGAGCGCAGCCGCAGCGTTGGCCGCGTCTCTCCGGGCTCCGCGAAGCGAAGGCGCCGGGCGCAGAGGAGCGACTCGGAAGGGCAAAAATGATGAGCATATCATGCTGGGGTTTAGGGGTTAGGGTTTAGGGGGTTTAGGGTTTAGGGTTTAGGGTTTAGTCTTAGCATGTTCTACCCATCGGCTCCATTGTAGATCCTTCTTGCGGTTTACATTCATAAGCCTAGACTGTAATCCCGAAGAGGAACTAGGAGCCTGTGGGTATAGATGTTGGGACTCTGATTTTCAAAGGGTGTTAGGGAGCTACGGCTTTGGGGTTTGTCCGAATAGACATTCGAAGCTGACTCATATTCAGAATTAGAGCATCCGCGTTGCATGTATGTGGCTTAGCCAGATCAGAGTTACTGTTCAGGGGTTATATGAATGCTTAGCCAGTTCCAGGGTTAAGCGCCGATGCTCCTACAGGGTTTTAACTGTGGTTTCGCACTTTGGGGCAGACACCGCCGTCATCCGAGTTGGGGCTTTGACCTAAACCCTAAACCCTAAGCCCAAAACCCAAAACCCAAAGCCCTAAACCCTAAATCCTAAGCCTACCGCGACATTGGGGTTCAGGGTTTAGGGTTTAGGGTTCGGGGTTTATAATAGGATGTGTCACAGACTAAAATCAGCGCTATGCTATCGATCCAGGACTGGGCTGCTTCCCAAGCTGGGAGGTGCACCAAGCCCATGCTAAGTCACCAGCACCAGGGTTTTGGGTCGGGTCTACATGTTGTGAGCTCTAGCAGACTCTAGCACCCGAACACGCAGGTTCCCTACTAACATGTCGTCTATGGTGGAGGGAAGTGTCTCAATCACTATCAATCTAGATCCCGATGGCATTGAGGCTATGGAGGCTACAGCAGCTGGCGCCGTTGCTTGGCATCTGTACATCCCCCAAGTGCAAACGTCTGTTTGCCCGGTACAGCTTGCAAGCGAAAATAAGACAAAGCAAGAAGTCAGCACCTGGAACATCAAGAATCATGAGCTCGATTTGCTGAATCTGAAGTTTCTTGACCAAGAAAGGCAGGGCACCCAGACCTAAACCCTAAACCCAAAAGCCCCAGACCCTTGACTCTAAACCTGCTTTGTGAAAATCCGCGATCGTCCTTCGAGGCAGCTCATCGACGACTTCGGGGACCGACGTTGCCTCTTTGTTCAGGCCCAGGCAGGGAGCAGGGCTTGAGCGGCTTGAGCTTATAAGGAAAAGCAGACCGAGGCTTGAGGCTTAGAGAAAGGAGCTTACCCTAGGCTTCCAGGGACCTTATTATTGGGTCCTTAAGGGGTCTAGGGCCTAGGGCCCTAACTACACGGTCCTTGGAAGCCTAGGGTTAGAGAAGGACATGGATTGGTTAGCGACGCTTTCTTGAGCGCTTTGGGTTCTAAACGGCTTACTCTATGAGCTCAATATGTTTGTTTCTGGGGAGTCAGAGCCGGACAATGTCAGGCTCAGGGCTTTGCGTAGAGTTTGGAGCTGCGTATGTTTGGTGCCCATCCATAGGAAAAGGGTTTGGCATGCTCTGGGTTTGGTAGAAAACTGGAGTAAGCCGTTGTGGGCCTGAAACTCACGCAACTACCGATTCGCTCCGCCCCTACCAGATAGTCCCAGCTAGTCAACACACTAAAGTCATCAAAATTACATCAAGCTAGACACCGAACGCCGAAACTTAAGCCTAAACCCCCACACTACGCCTCAAAAAGCCCTAAAGTCTTACCCTTCGGCTCTAATGATCCCTAATGATGGCCCGACTGGCCCTTTTCAGAGTGATGCTGCACCTGAGAGCCACGAGAATTCAAGAGACGCCTGACAAGATTAGACAAGGGAGTTTGCGGGTTTCAGGGCTTCTAGCAGAGTTTACCTATAATCTCCATTGTAGTTCCCTTTTCTTTTTAAACCATTTTGACATCGAAGATTCTACAAGGTAACCCCAAAAAGGAACTACAATGGCTATAGGCAGGCTTCAGGCCTAAGGTCCCAAGGGCTGAGGTTTTTAATTTCCTACAGACCCCGCTTCTTGAAAGGCAGCTTTGAGAGAGTGCGACAGCAATCACCCTAAACCCTAAACCCTAAACCCGAACCCACCCTAAACCCTAAACCCTAAACTGGGCCCCCTTGTCGTGGTAGCAGCGCGCTCTACCCGTCAAAGGCGCTGCAAGCCGGTGCGGAGGTTCTCGGAGGGGGTGATCAGGAAAAGGGGCTTCAGGACTCAGAGTCGCTAGAGTCCTTGCGATTGGAAGACTAGAGAATACTGAATAGACATGCTAATCATAATGGGTTGCCAGGTGAAAGCTAACGATCATGATGATAACCATGGCAATGATGTCTAACCGCCGTGGTGTGACAGTGTGATGAAAGAGCGCATAGGATGGCGAGCAGTGGTAGCTTGCAGTAGTACGGCTTCGTTGCAAAGCTGGTTCACAGACTTAGACACCAAGCTAAGGCTTTCTTGCCGGGCTCTCGTTGACTCTACATGTGTTTCAGCTTGAAGAGGTTCTCTTGGGTGTTCAGTGTCGGTGTTCGGAGTTAGCATACCTATAGTCTCCATTGTAGTTCCTTTTTTTGGTTTAACCAAATATCTATAAAGGATTCTATAAGGTATCCCCAAAAAGGAACTACAATGGAGACTACAGGTATAAAGCATTTGGAAGGCTTGTGGAGCTTTCCGAAGCTCCCCCACGCTGGCTGCAGTTCTGGAAATTGTAGGGTGCCAGGCTTTCGGTTGCAGTTTGGGGCTTATATACCTATTGTCTCCGTTGTAGTTCCCTTCTTTTGGTTTAACCAGAAATGTATTTAGGAATTTTTAAGGCTTTAAGGTAACCCCCAAAAGGAATTACAATGGAGACTATAGTGTAGGAATAGGGATACCTCAGTTTCCTGCCATTCGCTGTGTGTGGTTTGAGGGTTTACGGGTTCAGGGCTTAGGGGCTTGCGTACTTTGACGCGCAACTGCCCGTGCACAAATCACCTTCGCCTACAGTTCCTTTAGCTGTGCAGCGTAACACAGAAAGGGGCTCTCCCACAAGTACAGGCTGAAACCCAACACCAATGAGAAACAAAAACTAGCCAACGACTCTTAACCCGAAGCCCCATCAACTGTCATGGTGCTGGAAGGTTTCAGCTGTAGAGTCTGGTTGGGCAAGGCAAAAACCACTCATGAACGCAGTCCAGTCATAAGAGTCCAAATTCTGAGCATTTCCAGGCGCCACCCAGGCTTACTCGCATCTTGGGAATAAGTCACGTCTTCGCCCGAAGCCCATGGAAACAGCTCAGACCCGCAACTCAAGAACTACAGCCCCTGGAGTCTAACTAAAGTCTCCATTGTAGTTGCTTTTTTGGTTTAACCAGTTATGTAATTAGGATCCCATAGCGTAACCCCCAAAAGGAACTACAATGGAGACTATAGGTACGGACTAAACCCTCATTCCTTGAAGTGGGGAGGCAGGCTTCCTGAAAAGTTCTGGCCTTTTGCGACAGGTTTCCCCGCACCGCGATGCACTTCCTTCAGGCACCCTAAACCCTAAACCCTAAACCCGGATATT